TTCTCCCGCGCTGAGGGCATCAACGTCTGGGATCCTGAGGGCCGCCACTACTACGACTTCCTCTCTGCCTACAGCGCCGTCAACCAGGGCCACTGCCACCCCGAACTCGTCAAGACTCTTGCCGAGCAGGCTGGTCGGTTGACCCTCAGCTCCAGAGCCTTCTACAACGATGTCTTCCCCAAGTGGGCTGAGAAGGTCCGCAGCGTTTTCGGCTACGACATGGTTCTGCCCATGTGCACTGGAGCTGAAGCCGTTGAGACTGCTATCAAGATTGCCCGCAAGTGGGCGTACAAGGTCAAGGGTGTTCCTCAGGAGAAGGCTTGGATCTTTGGTGTTTCCGAGAACTTCCACGGTCGAACCGTAAGCTCCAATATTCCTATATTAAAAAAGTAGAAGCAATGTTGCTGACATGCTCCAGATGACCGCCATTACTCTGTCGGTCGACCCCGAATCAAGAGAAAACTACGGCCCTTATGTCCCCAATGTTGGTGCTTTCAACCCCACCACTGGCAAGGCCATCCGATACAACAGCATTGCCGATCTCGAGGAGGTTCTTGAGGCTCACGGCAAGGAAACTGCTGCTTTCATCTGCGAGCCCATCCAGGGTGAGGCTGGTGTTGTTGTCCCCGATGAGGACTACCTCGCCAAGGTCCAGGCCCTCTGCACCAAGCACAACGTTTTGTTCATCTGCGACGAGATCCAGACTGGTATCGGCCGAACTGGACGCATGCTCTGCTCCCAGTGGGCCAACATCAAGCCCGACCTCGTTACCCTCGGAAAGGCCATCTCTGGTGGCATGTACCCTGTGAGCTGCGTTCTCAGCAGCAAGGAGGTCATGCTGGTCGTCGAGCCCGGCACTCACGGTTCTACCTACGGTGGTAACCCTCTGGGCTGTGCCGTCTCGATCCGCGCTCTTGAGATTATGGAAGAGGAGGATCTTACCGCCAAGGCTGAGAAGCTCGGTAACATGTTCCGCGATGGCCTCAAGGCTCTCAACACCCCTATCCTCAAGGTGATCCGAGGAAAGGGTCTCCTCAACGCTGTTGTCATCGACGAGTCTGCCGCCAACGGCCGAACTGCCTGGGATCTGTGCCTGCTACTCAAGAGCAAGGGTCTTCTTGCCAAGCCTACTCATGGCGACATCATTCGCTTTGCGCCTCCTCTGGTGATCAGTGAAGAGGAGCTTCGAAAGGGTCTCGAGATTATTTCTGAGGCTATCAAGGAGCTTCCCAATGTTGAGCGTGCCCAGGGCCACTAGACGCAGCCTAAATTTTTGAGATATGGACATGATGGGAAAACAAGGGAAAACGGCGTTTGCGATTTATAAATAGGCAACGGGTATCATGCCTGGAAGCCATAGCGAGATGATTGATGTATGTTCGGACTGCATAGCCAGCGAACAGCACTCTGGCAGGCGTTTGGGATTCCATGTCGGCTAGAAAGCCTTGTACAAGTTGAATACCCCGATTGAATAAAAATGCTGAAATGATCTATATGTTAACCTGCTGTACATGGTGCTATCTCTAAGTGATTGATAAATGAAAGATTTGGCCAGCCGAGCTCTAGGTGAGGAAGATATGACGCCCGTCATGGCCACAACCCAATCATTTCAACATGTTGCCATCAGAGCAGACCGGTAGTTAGTGGTCTGCACAAGAGCACTGATCTTTCCCCAAAAGTGTTCCCTATATGGCTTAACATGGCAGATCGATCAGCCATGAGATCGCGGTCCATCATGGGACAAGTGCAGGCAGATACATACATGAACAATGTTACATAAGTTACCTGGCAAGACATCTTAGTAATCTTGGAGACTCAACCTATGTTGCAATCGACAAGGAAAACGACGTGTGGGTAACAGCTGACTGTGCTGGCCAAGGTACTGTCTTGGTACCTATGCTGCTCTAAGGTACGTCTCTGACTCGTTGCAGTTGATTTACCATGAGACGACGTAATTATGATTCTGCGCAGGAATACTTTCATGACTCGCATCACCGGAGAAAAGGGACATTTCTGAAAACCCAACATACGATAACACCTGTAACAGTGAAACCCGTGATCGGATCCGTGTCTTCCGTCCGGTGGATCTTGAAACACGGCGTTACGGAGCCCGAAGCACGGCGAAAGGGCCGGTGTAAAGCCGCCGGTTCGACGGATCCTTCAGCGGCATTTGGAGCGGTGACATACGACATCCAATTGCAATTGACGCATGAGGGGCTCAAAGAGCGCTCACTGTAACGCAGCAGCCCTTACGAATCATGCACTGTACATATTTGTTGAACGCGTGGCATGCGGTATTGGATGTGGGGATTGCTGGACGGTGCCTGTTTGAGGCCTGATACATGAGGTATCGCCCGTATTGTTGGTTACTTGAAGGATGCTACGGTAGGAGGTGGTGGGGATGAGGCCATTCGTGATAGGCAGAGGCAACCTTTCACATTATCTGGGCCGATCGTATGTTGACCCGATTGATAGAGAAGACGTCGTGTTACGGGAGGATCATTGTCTCGTGAAACTCGCAGAATGCGACTCGACGTGAGCAAGTTACAGATTGAGCAAACTGCAGGAGGTAGAATCACATACATGAACAATCAGTATGTACGCAATGGAGAGAGAAAGCATGAGTGGCTGCGTTAACATTGGAGGGGTGAGAAGAGTTATCGATGAGTAGATCCACGTGTTTGGAGTGTGGTTGGTTGACTGTTTAGCCAGGCACACAAGGGCAGAATGATCGTGGGGGTTAATGGCAGAGGACTCCATCCAATTCGAGGTCGTATTCTATCGATTCATGAGGACGCATTTTGGGGACTTTGGTGTGTGATCCTAAATTCTCGGTATGCCGAACTGAGAAGGCAGAGAAGCACATGTCCAACACACCTCATCCATGATAAGAGAAATATCGGGGTTCAACATGAGAGATAAGAAAGCAATGGATCGATCACTTCTCCAGGTTTTCACTAACTCGATTGAGATACATCGGGAACGCCAAGAGATAGATAGTCGAAGCGTATCATACCGGTAACTATCAGACAGGAAACCTGAGTGACCTAACTAGAGAAACTAAACATTCGAGGCTAGACTTGCCCATGCCTGCGTCACTATCCCATACTCCTTTGTTAATAGTATGGGAGTGATTCAGCACATGATGCCTTTTTTTTCTTTCTTTTCTTTTTAGAGTTGACGAGGCAACATGCTCCCTTGTTCTAGCGGCTTTCAAGCACCCAGTCGGTCAAGGAACAGGGGGATAGTTGCTGATCTAACTAGGACGAGAAGATGACGATCTGGGTATGAGTGATGACGGTATTTGTGTTTGTGTTTGTATTTGTATTGTTTTTTGTGCTTAGTTATTAGCTGTCCTGAATTGACTCGACTGTACCTCTATTGCTTAGGAATCATCACGACTCGTGTGTTCAGTTGACGGGATAATGGAAATGGGTGCTCTGTTCCTGGCTTGTCCTGTCTACTAAGGTTACCATGTCTCACCAGTTTCAATGCCATCATCAATATCCGGAAACATCACTCTCACCATGATCCGATTAGTTCAAATGTTGCCCACCCTTTTCCCAGACCCGAGTCCTACTGCTAGCTAACTAACTCAAAAAGTCGGGGAAACCTCACGGCCCTCGTCTGCCTGGTTTCCAAAAAGGGAAGACAACTTGCAGGGTAGGGGTACTGTTGTACCTCTATGCGGCATGGGCATGGACACGATAATGATAATGATAATGCTCTTTGGCAGGGCGAATCTCTTGTGAGCTTGTTTCGATAAGAACAAAACCATGCTGCGGTGCATTATAGAGCAATGGAAGGCCTCCTATTGCGAGCGAGCGAGCATCCGCTGACGCTATGCGCTTTGCGTGACCGGCATCGAATTACAGTATTAATAACAATTATTTCGCCATCCGAGCTCTCTATGTCTTCCATGAGCACGAGCTTGGCTCTAACTTGATCTTGCCCAAACAAGGGAGGTCAAGATTTATCTGCGACAAGATCAAAAGTGTTTGGTCCTTTTGCCGGACCGGACCCTGTCCTATCTTCTTGTCCAGACTATCAGCGACGATCAGCCAATGTTTCTCACTGGGCTGGTCGCACCTCGTGGCAGGGAGCGCTATAGCGGGCCATGGCGTAGATGGAGAAACATGCCTGACCGGTCTTGATTTGAGGGGGGGCTGATAGTAGTCAGTTCAGGTGGTGAGAGCATGAGAACGCTTAGTGAGTACTTGGAGAGTACAGTCAGTACATGCATTAGTACCATGACTGCGATCGATGTTCAATGCTTGAAGTCTCGTAAACTTGGCTGGCGTAAAACAAGCCAATTCAAGGTTGTTCAAGACTTGATTGATATTGACATGTTTCATCCTCCACTTCCCAGGTCCAGGTTGCAGAACATGCTACCTAAAGCTTCCGGAGAAAGTGGACGCGTGAGAGAGGCTCAGTGGGGCCGGGCGACCTCGGCACCCATAACCTTGTATCCCCGTCCGTGAGCCAGCGTGGGTACAGTCAGTATATGTATGTATGTACCTGTGTGTCGTGGTATCTGTTCGTACCTCAAGCCAGTTCAAGGCTAATGACTACTATAGTACATACTTAATGATGATTGTTATAGCCTACAATGACGGGATGTTTTGACCAAATTGAGTTTGAGTTTAGGAAGAAGAGGCTTTCTCCCTTATTGTTCACAGATCAGATGCATCACATCATCGGGGCTCAGGCAACAACAACAACAACACCTCCTCACGAGGCACTCACAACGTTAACAGGAGGAGTTGAAGGTGGTCGAACTTGGCCCGGAATAGCTTAGCTCAGCGTGTAGCATTGCACTTTTAGTTTATCGTTATCATGCACCGCATGATTCCTCTTTGTTTTTTTTTTTTAGACTGACTTGGGTGCTTGTTGGGGATGGATGGAGAAAAGAGGCTGCGGCGGTTGTCGCCTGTTTTCCTTTTCTACCTTAATGTACGGAGTAGAGTGAGTGACTGGACTTGACTCACTGAGTCACTGATTCATTCATCCATCGCTTGGCTCTTCCAGGTTTTGTCTCTTCTCATCCCGCTCTTGTCTTTGATCCCCTGGCTCGCCTGGTCTTGTTTTGGACTTGGGTGTATCACGGGGTCACCCAAAAGTGATCGATTAGCCTCTAGGTCATCATCCCCCGCAAAACAGACCCTCTTTGATCATTGTCTCTTAATTGTTATTATCTGCTGTCAGACAGTCAGAGTCACTTACTCACTGCTTCTGCAATCTCCAATGATCCCCCCCTGCGTGAATGTGAGTGTGTCTCAGTCGTCCACACCCACTCGTGAGGCTGTCATTCTGACCTAACTTGAGAGGTACTTGCGACTTGAGGCTGATTCCCACATAGATCCCATGTAGCCCCTTGACACTCAACATCCTTGTCGATTGGAGATTCTCCAGGACCCTCTGACACCTGCGGCAGTTCACACGCTAATAAACAGGTACGGTACGGTACAGTACGTACTACTCAAGGGTTACGGAGGTCGGTCTCAAAAGTCTTTGCCCAAAATGACTTACGCCACAATTGCTAATCCCTGTCAGGTACAAGGAAGTACAAACGATAAGGGAGATATAGGGAGATTGCCCTATAATAGCCCTATAATTATAGGGCATTTAGGGAAGCTCTGTAAATAAATTACTGGCTCTCCTTGCTGTAATTTTATTGTAATTAGTGACTATCATATCGCTTAAAGTACCTGGGATATCTTATCAAGAGTGGGGCTCCTAGCCACAGTCGTCTTAAGCAAAGACTTTTGAGACCGACCTCCGTACCTTACTTTGAATGGATGGAAGCTTTGGAGCTTCGAGCTAAGCAACCTGCGCTGCCTGAGGTAACGCGCCCCCTACAGCCGGGCTAGTTACAGGCTACTGTCCTGGACAGTCACTGCACGCAGCCATTCCCCATTTTCCCCCTTCTAGAAACCCGACCTTAACTGGGCTTGATTCGTACCGGTCATTCACTTCACTTCTCATCATCATAATAACTACCTACCTAGGTATTCACTTTCCACTTTGTTATCTCTATCATCCTTTTTTAGTTTTTGGTGTTCTCTTTCTTTTCTTTACATGGGACTTTATCTTGTTTGCCTCAATTAACCTTCTGTACTCTGTGCTTTGTTGTTATTCTTGCTCGCACAGCATCTGTTCGACCACCGCCTAGCTCTCTCGTGCACCTACAATACAATAGTCGGTGCCAGAGTTGCGCCTAGGGCGTGTGTGACGCAACCCCGATCAGCCTGTCCCAACCTCTTGACTTGGAGCCTTGGACTGTCTCTGTACTCCCATCTGTACCTACAGAACGGAAAGACACTACACCCCATTCAGCAACACGTACGAATCTCCAACCTGCATAATTCTAGACTCTGGGCATTGCCAATGCACTCGAGGTGCACGATAACATCAAACCATCCCATCCCTCCCTTCCATTGAGTCACCGCCGTCGTCCGCCTCTCTAACCGCCCTATCCGCGTCCACGGTTTTGGGGGGGCGATTATCTCCGATCACGCTCATCCTCCTCCCTAAGTAAAAAACGAGTACGGACGGCCCTCGACTCAGGTCAACGGCTGGCGCTCGTATAACGTCTCAGATTGGATCGTTACCAAAGGCCTAAAGCTTCGCTTCAGTGCCGTGTTAGTCACCTGGCCTGGCCTGGCTTTCAACATACCCCCCGGTCTTGCCAGGCTTATCGGTATCCATCCAGTCAGTCAGTGGAAGGATAAGGTAGTGTCCAGTTAGTCCTAGGTACAGTACAGTGCGGTACCCTACCCTGGGGAGAGAAATTAAACGACCCCAAATTCACCAAACTTCGCTGGCGTTCTACCCATCAAGGGGTGTCGTTTTTTATTTCCCCCCCTAGCCTACCTATTCCTATCCCGTCGCATTCTCTGTCCTCGACTATCCTTATCCTGCCCTGTCGCACCAGTATCAAGCACCCCAGCAAGCCCCATCTGGCAATGACTCTGGGTGCTGGCTGTGCTTGTAGGCTGTAGCCTCTAAGGCAAGGCAAGTGAAGAATCGCTGGATCATACCCGTGCAATCCAATCCCCGGCCGTGATCGCCATTGCTCGTGCCGTCACCATCGCTCGCTGTCACACGCATCCCCCGTAGCTTCTTGTTCGTCTTTCTCCCATCCTTTCTGTTTCTCTTGTCCTCTTCTCTTCCTCTTCTCTTCGTTGCGAACGAGCCCTTGATCTCGAATCCCATCAGTTGTTCTACCCATCCACATCCACTAACTCTTGTGTTTGGCTCGATATAGCAGTGCAGGCGCGCAGCGAGTCAAGTACCCGTCGATACTCTCTACGCACCCTTTCGGATACCTACCTACTACCTACCTGCCTCTCAACCTCGCCTCTGAGCTAAGGTCGGGTAGTATTGTCTCGTCTCGTCTTATCCCATCCGTCTTCGGCTGTCCGCCCATAGGGGTCCTTCGTCCTCACCGACCACTTGATACTTCACCAACCATCAGCGCAGGTTCTCGCCTCTGACCTTTCGTTTATCGCCTTCCGCTTGGTTGATAATCATCCCCATCCTCCTCTGTCCCCTTCTCGCCTCTTCCACCACGCCCATCGGCGCTTGCGACTGCTTCCATCTATCGATTACATGACGACCTGGTCTGTGACACACACCTCCCCCGAATCTTATAAGCCTTAGGGCTACAACGCAGTCCGGCTATCTTCCTGCCATCAATAACAACAACCAGGAAGCCATGGCGGCCCGGCAGGAGTCCTCGACCTCCTCGGGGTCCAGGAAGTCGGGCAGTCGTGCTGTAGTAGGACAGTTCAACATCGGCTCCGAGATTGGAAAGGGTAGTTTTGCTCAAGTGTATTTGGGTTGGCATAAGGTACGACAAAGCTCCCATCCTTGATTTGACTTGCTTCTCTATCATCGTACCAACTTGCGTTGCTTGTTTGTTGCTGCTGCATCACTGGGGTGGCTTGTCGGACTGTTCCTTTTGGTACCACAAGTCAAAGAGCATTTCATGGCATACTTGATCCTAGATAATCACTGACAATCTTGATAAAGGACACTAAGGCTGCCGTTGCCATCAAATCCGTCGAGCTCGAACGGCTGAACAAGAAGCTACGAGAGAACCTCTACAGCGAAATACAAATACTCAAGACATTACGCCACCCTCACATTGTCGCCCTCCATGACTGTCTCGAGTCGACAAGCCACATCAACTTAATTATGGAATACTGCGAGCTTGGCGATCTATCTCTGTTCATCAAGAAACGAGAGAAGCTCGCCACACATCCTGCCACGCATGATATGGCCCGCAAGTATCCAAGTGCGCCCAACTCCGGTTTGCATGAGGTTGTCATTCGACATTTCTTGAAACAGCTGACTAGTGCACTCGAGTTCCTACGCAGCAAGAACTACGTTCACCGAGATGTCAAGCCCCAAAATCTGCTACTGCTACCCTCACGACCGTTCAGGGACCAAAGAAGTCGCCCTGTCATGCAAGCCAGCCAAGACTCGCTGATCCCTATCGCTGGTTTAGCATCTTTACCTATGCTCAAGCTTGCCGACTTCGGCTTCGCACGTGTGCTTCCCTCCACTTCCCTGGCTGATACCCTTTGTGGATCCCCCCTGTACATGGCCCCAGAAATTCTCCGATACGAGCGATATGATGCGAAAGCCGATCTTTGGTCAGTGGGAACTGTGCTCTATGAAATGAGCACAGGTCGCCCTCCGTTCCGGGCTAGAAACCACGTCGAACTGCTGCGTAAGATTGAAGCCGCCGAGGATGTTATCAAGTTCCCCAGGGAGGTAAATATCAGTGCCGACCTGAAAGCTCTAATTCGAAGTCTACTCAAGAGAAGTCCTGTTGAGCGACTGAGCTTCGAGAACTTCTTCGCACATCAGGTCGTTACGAACGAAATTCCTGGCTTAGTAGAGGATGATATTCCAAAGCCAGTCAGGCAAGAACCTCGGGAGGTGAGGTCAGCCTTTCATGGGGGCTCGCCTTCGTTATCATCGCGAAGTCCCCGACAAGCCGGTTACGAATCGCCACGAGACGGCATTGCTTCAAGATCTCCCAGAGATCAGCACTCAAGGTCGCCACAGGCAGCAAGCCCGGGAGAAGGTCGGTATTCTCGGCAATCGCATGACAGTCAACGGCCAACAGGAAATTCTCCTCGCGAGGTCGGTGAGGGTCTTGGAATTCGCCGCCCAGTTGCACACCATGCAGCGACTGCCCCGGTTCAGCAACGTGTCCAGGATAGGGGGAATGGTCGCGATAAGGCCTCACCTCCTACATCTCTTCTGAACCAAGCACGCAGGGACAGAGCCTTGAGCAATCCATCAATTACAGAAGAGGAGAAGGCGGCACAAGATGTTGCCTTGGAGCGGGAATATGTAGTTGTTGAGAGACGGCATGTTGAGGTCAACGCCCTGGCCGATGAACTGGCAGCGAACGAGCGATTCGGGGACCCTTCCTCTCAAAGAACAGGAGCCATGACTCGACGATATACTCAACAAGGCGCACCCACTTCTACGTCAGGAGCAATTGCCACACCGTCCTCACGCAATGCTTTGGTGACCCAGAGCCGCCATGACCGTAAATCATCGTACGAGAAGGCTCTCTCTGCTAGTCCAGGATCAGCCTCTAGTGCTATCTCTAAAGCGATCCAAGACGCCAGCCTGCGTCTTTTTGGCTTTAAGGTCCCCCCTCTGCGTGGTACACCAAAGGGCCCATCGCCTCCCCTGTACCAAGCTTTTCCGACATATCCAACACCTCAGGCCCCAGTCGGTCTTTTAGGTGACGGAAAGAACACTTACGGAACCGACGAGGATGCCCGAGCCGCGCAAGCCATAGAAGAGTTCGCAACACGCAGTGACTGTGTCTACGGTTTCGCCGAAGTCAAGTATAAGCAGCTTGTTCCTCTAGCGCCGTCCGCTGATCACATCTTGGGCGGTCTTGAACCTGATCAATTGGAAAATGAGGAAGATGGACTGACAGTTGAGGCAATTGTTGCTCTCTCAGAGGAGGCTCTTGTTCTATATGTGAAGTCGCTCACTCTTCTCGCTAGAGCTATGGACATAGCTAGTGTCTGGTGGTCCAAGAAGAGCCGGGGAGAGACAGGCACCGGCCTATCGGCTGCTGCTGCTCAGAGCATTGTTCAACGCATAAACGCAGTGGTTCAGTGGGTTCGACAGCGATTTAACGAGGTGCTGGAGAAGTCGGAAATCGTCCGTATGAAGCTCACGGAAGCGCAGAAGCAACTGCCCGAAGACCATCCCAGCCACCCTTCTAACCATGGAACCGAATCGATTGCGTCCTCTGCCGGGGGCGCGACCAAGCAGGTTTACTTGACCCCTGGCATAAGTGCTGAGAAGCTCATGTATGATCGGGCACTTGAGATGAGTCGCGCTGCCGCAATTGACGAAGTTACGAATGAGAACCTCTCCGGATGCGAGATTTCGTACATCACGGCCATCCGAATGCTTGAGGCTGTTTTGGACAACGATGACGATTCAGGTTCGGATGCAAGAAGGTTGTCGACAGGCAAAGAGGATGAGCGAGATGCTATCAAGGAAACTAGCGGTGGTGAGCTTGATAGCGATGAGGAGGCCCATGTTCGAAAGAGTAAGTCATACATGAGTATGTCATGCTGACGAGGCTAACAAAACATTAGTGATCAAGATGATCACAGGACGACTCGCAGCTGTGCGCAAGAAGCAACAAATGATTGCTGAAGCCAACAGCAAGACATTACAGTCTTATCAGCAGTCAATACGTCGCCGAAGCGGTGATATCACACCACGCAGTGTTCCTTCACATGCATCCTCCTGAGTTGTGGACGATGAAACTCGTAGCAAAGCATTATAACTGATACAACGATACCTACCATACCATTCGGAGATCTTGAACGATCTCATGTCTTATCTCTATCATATTTGGATTCAAGGCGCCACGGAGCTCGGCATGCGGCTCACAGAAGCACGCCAGCAGACAGTCATTCGGTACAGGATCTATATGGAGCCGGCGTCCAGGATTTTTGTAGTTTGCGCATCGCCGGGAGAAGCATCTCATCAATCGGCGTTTTTGGATTGCGATTAGCTATTACTTTCTTCTACCATATTCTTTCTTGCTATTTCTATTCCAGAGGACCACCTCTGTAGTTTGGATTCGGGGCTCACTACGCCCAGACCTGGAGCTACAGCAGCTTTCCAGGTGGAAGATAAGAGGAGGTATTTGGATTTGGGTTTGGGTTAAGTTGAACGGGCATAAGGGCCAGTCATTATAGGTTGAGAGTGGGAGATTCTCAGACATGTCATGCTATTCAAGAAGAGAGAGATGTCGAATCCAGGGAAAAGGGTGAAAATGAGAATCAATAACAATACCCAGGTCTTCCACAGTGAGCCCTGGATTTACGCCCCTTTGTCCATCTTCTTAGTGAGACTTATCTGAGTGAACTAGTAGCAAGCCAATTCGGTTCTTTGAGTGACCTTTGAATTGTTCAGTCCAATCGCTTTGTTCATTCCATGCCCCGTAATGTTCTCACAGAGCCTCCGCCCGTTCAGTGACAAGCTGTAGTACAACACATCTTGTTCTTCATGTTGCCGCTGCACAGTTGTTAACCGTCGAGGATGGTATATATACAGAATGGGCACACATAGAACAGCACTAATCATATTCTTTAACTTCAAATTTCCTTAACATATTGAGACAGCCATGACCGGGAATCGCGATTCTCCCAATTCGGTTCTATCCGATGTCCCTCGGGAGCTCGACCCTAGAGCACCACCAGCTCCACTTGACTTGCTATCAACTGTTTCATCCGTTTTTCACCAACGATCAGAGAGGCTTCGGCGAGAGGCCCTTGCTCTTACAGACGCAGAGATCGAGGCTGGATTCGTCGCTACTCGAGAAGCGCGGATCAAAGAGAAGCTCGAAAAATTGGAGGAGGAAGAGACATCAGAAGGCGAGTGGGCCGAAGAAGAGTATGAAGACGAAATTCCTTCCAGGGAAGATGTTGAAGCTTTCGTCAATGGTGTGATTGATAAGGAAGCCACAGGCTCTGTCCTTGAGCGTGCAATAGGAGAAACAGTAGAGGACCATAGAAAACGGATGGAAACTCTCGAGGACCGCATTCAGGGGTATCAACTCTCCAAGGCCGTGCTCGAAGACGTCCGGGGAGATCCTCCAAGGTACGTGGAAGGGTTCCCAGTGAACCTCGTCAACGCTTTTTTGCGCCTACGTCCTCGCATTGCCGTGATGAATACGGGGGGGTTTATTTGTCTTCAGTGTCAAGTCAAAGGGAAACGGTGCTCGCGAAACATGAACTATTCACCCGCCTGCGAGCGATGCAGACGCCATGGAGACCCCTGTTTAGTCAAGGACTTTACCCACCCTGTTGCAGTGCGCTGGTGGTTTGCTAGGGGTCAAGAAACCGGTCACATTGAACAGGTGGAGTTAGAATGGTGGTTGGAGAGGCTGGCGAATAAAGGTCAGACAGAGGGCATCCAGGCCTTGCCAGTGTGGCCTGAGGTCGGAAATAATCCAAGCAATAATCGTGGTGAAGAGGAATTGCCTCAGAAGTGGCAACACATCTTGAAAGGATCCGCCAAAAGGAAAATAAATGCATAGTAAAGCGAAAAGGGCGACACGCATCCAGTCATTCTTGGTAAATACCCCTATGTATCCCATGTCAGCCTTTCCCGGTCATCAATCAAAAGAGCCAGTGCCATCTGGGGCCATAGACAAATTCCCAGTCAGAATCCGCAATCCCATCCGCCCAAATCTATGAACCCATTCTCCCTCAGTTGTGTAGTTGATGCACTTGAATGAGGTTGTGATTCCCGATGTTTCCTTTCCCATGAAATTCGCATAGAATAAAGTAGTGAAGCACCAAAGTAACTCCACAGACCTAAACATATCCCTTCATTTTCCACTATTTCCTGACCATCTTCAGCGGAATGCGAGCTGAGGTGGATGCCTCATATTGGCTACGCCCGATTCCTTTAGCCTCACATCACGCTTGCTCTTCCGTTTCTTAGGGCTTGGTGGTGGAACAAATGCATTGCCAGCGAGAGCATCTAGAGGAGTTCTCGAAACAGGAGAGATACTGTCTGTGAGGAACTTTGACCTGGTCCTCTCGAGAGCCGAAAGAACGTTTTGCCTATAACGAGGATTGGGATTGTTAGGTGATCTTAAATGCCTCTCTAGCCCAGGTAGGGAAACATTCACAGTATCATGAGTCCTGGCTCTTGGGACTCTCCTGCGTTTTGATGGGAGTTCAGTGTTCGCTGAACTGTTAGGGCTACGAAACCCTTGCCAAGGAGGTTGAGGCTTCTTGAGATTTGTGGTAGACTCTCGTAGAGTGCCGCATGGACGCGGTGGCACCGAGAAAGACGAGATAGTCTTACTAGTGGCAGTTTCTGGGCCAGATTCTGCGGCTATCTCTAGAACGCGGTCTTTAGACTTTGTGGTTGTAGTTTCAAAGCGCGTAGGTGTCGTAGTGAAGTATTGGCTGATTGATGAGCCTGGGCTTCTTGTAGGTGTGGGTGGATTGCTCGGTGCAAGATCAGGTAACACCCAAGGCATCGGTTTGAGCTTATCTTGAGGTTTCCAAGAAGCCAGCGTTCGAGAATCCATTCGTTTAAACAGTTCCCGATTCTTCTTCGGAGGACAAAGCCATGCATGCGTCTTCGCACCATAAGCATTGATTCTCTGTAATGGGTCGACTTTCAGACAGTTCCAGACGAACTCAATCCCTTCGAGAGAGGGTTTTGTCTGCATTCCATTGAATAACCTGGTGAGATATTCAATTATGTCTCCTTGCTCCATCTTGTTGAGCTCTCCGTCGTGGTTATCAGACGCGAGGAGGAGTAATGCAACAACACCTAAGGACCAGATGTCGACAGCCGCAGTGTGAGCTTGCCCACCAGCCGCGAACTCCCTTTGAAGCTTATTAGCAAGTGGCTTAATTGCGAACCAATTGACGTACGGTGCTTGGTATCCTGGTGTTCCAGCGTTTGTGATCATTCTGCTGCGTCGAGGAACGGCAGAATTGCCAAAGTCTGAAAGCATGACTCGATGATACGCAATCTTAGGTGAGTATGCCAAGAGAATATTCTCTGGTTTTAGATCACGGTGAACAATGTCTTTCTCGTGGAGATAGCCAAGACCACGGACAACTTGACGTATAATGATCCGTGAGTCGAGTTCCTTGACTGTGCCATGGCGTAGAATGAATGACATGAGATCACCACCAGATGCAAGTTCTGTAAAAGTATAGCTAGGACCATCAGTTCATGTTTCTGCAAATATATATATATCTTACTTACAGTGAGTGTGGTGATGAGATAGCATCCACGTAAGGAAGGATGTTAGGCTATTACAGATTAGCGAAACTCGCAGTACCAGCGCGAGTCGACTTACATGTCTCAGCTGGCGCAAGATGTCGGCTTCCTGAAACTTGCGACGGATATCCTCTTGAGAATTCTTCCCTTGGATCTTGTCGAGATTAATCAACTTGCAAACTAACTGCTTCTTCGTCTGGACATCGCTTGCCAGGCAGACGACTGCTTCCGCTCCTTGCCCCAGGCAATGGCTACTGACGTGATACTTGTTTGCAAACAACTAGGACAGTTAGTTTCAGACCCCGGCTGGTAAGAGGGATCATTCAGGCCAACCTTGCATTCCTCCATTTGTAAGGAAGTTAACTCATGGCGAGGAGGTGGCTGATCTTGTAGGACTGTAAACTTCTAGTATGGTCGAATTTCGATCACATCGCCGCTCTGTAGTAGGTAGCCGGGGCTTATATCTGGACCAGAACCAATGAGTTGGCCATTGACAAAGGTACCGTTTGAAGACTTTCGGTCCCGCACGTAGACATGGTTGATAGTTGGCTCATACACCACAACATACACTTCACAGTGGTTTCGAGAAACTGAGACGTCGAGGTCATTGTCGACAGCCAGCGTGCTGTGTGTGTGTGAGTTTGTGTGAAATACATTTCATGTGGAGATTTGCTCACTTTGCACGAGGGTCTCGCCCGATCTTGAAGATTTCTCGTTCCCACACTGGAAACAGCTCTGAGAAGCAGGTTAGAAAGAGCCAGAAGAGGTGGAAACCATATGAGATCTTAAGGGCAGGGCAGGAAGAGCGTACGCTGAGATTGGTGTTCGCTTCTGGTGTCTACTAGATGAAGATATGCAGCTGGAATTTCTTGCGACGCACGAGTCGTATCCTCTTCCATATTGAGGCTCACAGATTTTGAATCTGGTTCATCTGCTCGCACGTGTAGTGTAAGTTAGGTGCTGGATTAGTTGGCGCAGTAAGATTTGTGTAGCAAGATCACGAAATCGTTGGTTTAGATGGCGATGGTGGTTAGGTAAGGTTAAGGTAGTGTAAATTCTTCAGTTGCCTTGTTGGCTAATTTTCTCGTCGGTTCCAGTTCCTATTGTCGCAGTTGAACAATTGCAGCCGTTCCTTGCCTCCTTCCTTCCCTGCTTTCTGCTTCAATCGTCGGCCTGGCACTGGCACTGTATGCGCCGGACAGTGCCCCACTCAATTGGCACTGAACCCTTCTCTTCTCAGGTCGTCGCCCACCACCCAACTTTTTGGTGGGGCCCTCCAACCGTGAGATGGAAGGAACGATGGGGTTCGGTCACGTGCTCTAGATGGGGTTGCATACACAAAATCGTAATTCTGCCCTCCAAGCTTCAGAAGTTTGTTCCTTATCCCAACACGATTCTCATCCACGAAAGAGTAAGTTTACGCGACCCGACCCCGGCCTACAGCTTGTAGCTTGTAGCTTGCAGGTATTGAGCTTGAGCTCATGCCACCGCAAGCTACTTGTCTTGTTGGCGGCATTTCGCATGCGCACCACAGCTGCTAACGTCTTCCAACAGCATCGTCAATCAAGATGAGAGCCAAATGGAGGAAGAAGCGGGTTCGCCGCCTCAAGCGCAAGAGAAGAAAGATGAGGGCTCGATCGTAAGTTGCATCCCTGTCATCGACATGTTGGCAATAGCTGACTGTTTTCGCAGCAAATAAACACCTCGCACCTCAACCTGACTTGACTCATCTCTCATGATGTTACGACTTCACACGCACAACGATACTCTGGCCGAAGCTGCGAACGCTACCTTGGCGCCTCTGGGATGTCCCGCAACGTTATGAGCTGGGATTTGACTTTGGGAACTACGTCACGGTGGTGGAACCCCGCACTTGAGCGGCTGTTGGGCACACAATGAACATTACGGGGAAGGGAATTATGACAACTGGAAGGTCAGGAACCAGGCGGTGTTAGGATCAAAGACCATCAGTCATGCTCGCAAAAGACGATGCAATCAGAACTTGAATGGCAGTTCTAAGACAAAGAAATACAGAGTGTTACTCTGACCATTTGTGTGTTCCGTGATTGTGCCCTCGTGACACTAATGAGCCTCGAGCTGGAGGTCGACCAAGCCGTGTGACGCGCTAGCTGTTGGCCAATTTTTGCAAGTTCTTCAGTCTCAGGCCAATTGCTCTACTTGTTACATCTTGATTCCAGTTATTTCAATGCGATTGATTTCGCCATTCCTAATTTTAAATTTGACGATGTGTTGTGCGTGACGCTCTGTCGCATTCAGCTCGACGTCACAAAAAGAGTAGCGCTTAACCTCTGTGGAGCTGGGTACCTACTGGGTGGGATGGAATGCTGAAGATATGGAAATTTGGAGATACTGGAGCTCAGCGAAATGCATCAACCATCAATTGAACTGCATAAGATAATTTATGAGATCGCCACTCTGAAGCTCTTCCATGCAGCTCTTATACATTCATTCCTGAACTCAATTCTTCCACATATCTCGATGCAGTTGCGAGTTACGTTCTCGCCTTTCACCGCCTTCCCTGTCCGGCCGGCTAAACGGCGGACCCTCTCTTTCTGCCGTTGAAAGTCAAAAAATTTCTAAGACCTTGTCTGTATCATCAGTACCTGCACTCAAGATTACATACGAAATCGATAATCGGCCATCCAAAATGGGGAGTGAAAAGCGCAAGAGAAGCGGAGAGTCGACGAAGCCAAAGAAGAAGGTCGTTATTGATGCGCCTCCCTTATCAGCGACCGTCTCTTCCGTCCTCAGACCCAAGTTCTGCCCTCCTGTGATAGGTAGCAACCACCACCTCTGCTTGGGCGCGCTGCGACAGATATTGACTGATCTCGAATAGCGACGGCTGTTGGGTTCCAAGTACCAACGAACATTCCCTTTCACTCATATGCGCCCAAGAATGGCGCCAAGTCAAAAAGCAAGCAGCCTGAATCGGCTGCCGAAAAGGATTTTCTGCTGCACTCGAATGCGCATCGATCTATGGATTACACGGTCAAATCGGACGAGCCAAGAGGGAAAAGGCCAGCTTTGAATCACTTCGTCGGAATCTACGACCCCAAGACAGGAAAACTCGAGGTGGTCGAGGCGAAGAAGATGACAATGCGGGCTTCAGTACGAGCAAGGCAGGGCGCCGCTGTCACTTCTGGTCAGCGCGATAATACCCAGGTACGCCTACATCCATCTCCTCTAGAAGGGCAATATTCTAACGAAGTACAGACAATGCTACAGCTCAAGACAGACCTCGGCCAGACATTTGGTACCAAGAAG